ATATAAAAATGACCCCCTGTAAAGGTCCCACCAGATGTTCCGACTCTGCCCAAAATCTAATCATTTCACCGCAGGCCAGAATAAAGCTTAAGTTTAAAATTTGATATTTTTCTTTGTATCCATTCATAAGTTATCGAGGATATAGACACATACACAGACATCATCGCGAAAATAGTCAAAACGGATGCAGGGGACCTCAAAACGAAAAAATTCGTCGAAAACTCGAGGTTGAAAAAATCATGATTCCTATACTTTCCTTATCTGTATACAGAGAGGAAAGTAAAAATTAAGAAACTATTATGCTCAAGCAGAAGACTTATTTTTTCCAAATCTCAAGTGATATACTCTGAACAGCATGGAAACCCCACAACAACAACCTTTTAATGTGTATAAATAAAATAAATGAACGGACTCATGCTATAGCCAAGTGTTTCTCAAAGTGTGCTCCGCGGAGCCCTGGGGGCCCCGCCAAAATAATAGTTATAATAAAAAAATACTATGAGAAAGTTCGCCGATACAAAAGGGGCCTTTTTTTTTTAGAAATTCACCGGGATTGCAAAGTAAAATTAGGGCTCCGTTAAATATGTCGCTTTTCAAAGTTACGTAGCCAAAACAGTTTGAGAAACACTGCTATAGACAATTAAATACCTACTGACGTAATATACTTAAACCTTCGATAAAGTGGCCAAGGAAATACATAAACCAGAATTGTATTATTTTTCAATCAATTTGCCTAGTTTGAAACAAGGAGTAGAACAAGGTTCCGCTCTTGGGCCTCTCCTGCAATTTACATAATTGATCACTGGATCTTGAATCACACTCTTCTTTGCGGTTTAGTGTTATCCGATGAATTCTGGATGAACTAGCAGTGTTGAAGAAAGTGTATGCAAAATGTCTTGATATACGAAATTGAATTCGTTTGCAAAATTACTTATTAAAATGTTCATTTATACAACTCTTGTTAATATATATGATGATGTTTTCATCAATAATTCGAAAACGGCTTGAAATATCAAAGAACTGATTTCATTTTTGGAATCGACCAGGTAATTTCTAGTCGTATGCATATTTTCAATTAAATCGAAATTTTAAAATGATTTCTCAAAAATAACCATTTTTTTTTGTGTAAAAAAAATTCTCCAATTTTTATTAAAATTTAGGTACATAATAAAAGAAATCAAGATAAATTGAAAATGATACAGATTTGAAAGCTATCGCATCTTTTATTTCCATGTTTTGGACAGAAACAATAATGGTCTCTTGTAGGTATTCCCTTACAGACTGGTGATTGTTTTTATCCAATGAAATTTATAACTATCCATCTGATTTAAAGAATATTATTGCATCATAAAATTTACGTTTTGCGGAAAGCTATGCCTATGACGTGTCACTTTGCTCGGGCAGCATTCGCGCCATTTAAAGATTTTTACTTTCCTATCTCTATACAGATAAGGAAAGTATAGGAATCATGATTTTTTTCGACCTCGAGTTTTCGATAAATTTTTAAGTTTTGGGGTCCCCTGAATCCGTTTTGACTATTTTCGCGATGATGTCTGTGTGTGTGTGTCTGTATCCACGATAACTTATGAAAGGATATAAAAGAAAACACCAAATTTCAAAAGTAAGCTTTATTCCGGTTTGCGGTGAACTGATTAGATTTTGGGCAGAGGCGGAACATCTGGGGAGGTATTTTATAGGGGATCATTTTTATATTTTATAAAATATATCTGTTATTTACGTTTGAAGAAGAAAATCTTCAATAAAAGTTACTTCTTATATTCTCTATAATTTTTGTTTTATACAAAATGTTTCTAAAATGGTCTTTATTCGAGAAATTTGACAAAATGTAAAAAATTCAAATTTTCAGGAAAATTGTTAAACTAAAAATTGGAGGAAAAGTGTACAATTTTAATTTTTCAGTATTTTTGTTATCACCCCTGGGGGGTCGCGAAGCTTCTGTAGGGGGGTCGTCAGAGGTCGAGAGAACTTCAGTAAAAAATCAATCTTTTTAATCTTTATTAAGTAAGATAATTTTAACAAAAGGATATACTCATAAACATTTGTATATTAATACAAACAAATTAACAAAAAATAAAATCCTAAGACTCATGTTTTGATTAATCAATTTCTCCATTCGTGGATCTGTATTAGCTATACCTACATAGAATTAAATCTTTGTTCAAATTTAAACGATTTCTTTGCTTACTTTTTATTTGGGCCATTGATGAAAATGTCAAGTCGCATAAGTACGAGGTGGAAAATGGAATTAAACACTTCAAAGTCTCAGTTGTCAATTCCGGGTATTCTGTTTTTCTCCTTAACCAAAAGGTATCCAAATTAACAGACTTGAATTCCAAGTGTAACATCACATCAGCAGATAATTCTAGCAGATTATCTTTGAGCTTAGTTGGCAAATTAACCTCATTTAAAGCTGCATTTAAAAACTGATTTAAGATCCACCTCTGCCCAGTGTTCTCCGATGTCTCTTGCACTGAGAAGTAATGACACAATTCTTCTTTCAAATTATCTAACACCATCCGACTTCTTCAGTAAAAGATTGTGTCGACGAAAATGAGTCGAAGTTATTTTTATTTATAGTCAAATTTTTTGTAAAGCCATGTATTTTGTCTTTTGCAGTAATTATATTTTCATCTCGCCCTTGAAGACTTTTATTCAAGATATTTAAATGCTCAAATAAGTCAGAAAGAAAAGCTAATTTCAAAAGAAATTCCGGATCGCAAATGAATTCAGAGTATTATGACTTGGCCTGCTGTAAATATATTAAAAGTTCAGCACGAAGTTTTATAACTCTGGTCAGTACTCTGCCTTTTGACAACCACCTAACCTCTGTATGGTAAAGTAAATGGTGGAGTGCCCCTATATCTTCACAAATAAACCGAAACAATCGTGTCTGCAACGCTTTTCCTTTAATAGAATTTACAATCTTTATAATAATATTTAGAACTTGGCTGTATTCCTGTGGGAAGGTTTTAGCCGCAAGAGCTTGTCGATGGAAAAAGCAATGCACCCAACAAGCGTTTGGTATCTGGCCGCAAGAGCTTGTCGATGGAAAAAGCAATGCACCCAACAAGCGTTTGGTATCTGTTCTTTCAGCCTAGCAATAAATCCACTCTTCGCACCAGTCATCGCTTTTGCTCCGTCGCTGCAAATAGCAATGCATTTATTTGCCCAATCGATATTCATATCTTGCGTAGCTTCAAGGAACGTGTTATGCAAGCACTGACCTGTAGTATTTGTGGGAAGCGCTCTGCAAAATAGTATTTCTTCCATTAATTTTTCACTGGATTCAAAACGCATAAAAGCTACAAACTGCGCACAACCCGCAATATCCGTGGATTCGTCAAATTGCAAAGATACAAAATACTTTCCTTTATTTTTTTTATGACTTGATCACGGACGTCAGTGGCCATATCGCTTATCCTGCGTTGAATGATATTGTCAGAGAGAGGTATACTTGAGTTTTTCGACCTCTTGTTTCCCAAACATAATCTCTGCTTTATCTAAAGCCGCTGGTAAAATCAAATTTTCGGCAATAGTGTGAAGTTTTCCTGCTTTAGCCACACGAAAAGCTACTCGATAACTAGCAAGCAACGCTTTCTCATTTAGGTTGGACATTTGTACTATACCAGTTTTTTGATGTTGAAGAGCTTGTAATTTTCTCTCAAAAAATTCCACGGGCTTATTTTTTTCATTTGGATGTTTTGTGTTGAGGTGGTGTGTTAACTTCGATGGCTTCATGCTTTCTCTTGATAAAGTTTCAAAGCAAATAACGCATTGTGGTTTATTCTTAATCACAGTAAACCCGAATATCAAATAATTGTCGTCATAAAGACGTTTTTTTTTTGTTTTACTTCCACTACTCTCACCAGAAGATGACGGTTCTGTTGATCTCTTCAGAAATTTATCTATTTTAAATTATCACAAATCACTACAAATGCGTAATTATTACTAAAAGGTAAGAACAATGTCTTACGGTCGTCAAACAATTGAGTGAGTATCGCTTCATCCCGCGACACGTACGTTCGTTCTTTCGCTCGTTTACTCTCAACAACTCGCAAGCTAGCCACCACACTCACTCGCGTATCGGGGACAACACTAATGATATGTCGTACGCGTTTTATTTGTACATCGGTCTCCTTTTGACAGAGTAGGTGAGCTGTGTCCAGGCCGTTGGTGTTTATGCCGGTCGGCGTAGCCGCCACCCTATGAGAAGTCTTTGCTTCGTCTTCTTGTTGTCACGGCATTATTATTATTTGTTCATGTATGTGAAATTTGCTTGTAAGGTTTATAAAATACTACTGCTAGTAACGGCGTAAATGAAAACAAACAAGACTCATTCACGAAAGCACCTCCCACTACAGCAATTACAAATCATTAGTGTTGTCCCCGATACGTGAGTCCAAACTCACTGTTGCCAGACGTAGCGGAATTCCGCTATTCGTAGCGGAATTTTATCAAGGCAGTGGTCGTACGTACGTATACCTATGTGCGTAAATTGCGCTAATTAGTTATCAATTGGCGACGTATTCGATGTATGTAATTGTAAAATAATGTGTTTTACGTACTATATTATGTACTTATATCCGAATCCTAATTATGGAGACGCATAAAAACGCCATGGAATGAATATTTGTAACAGTGTAACATACACATACATACAAGATAAAAAAGCGAAGGGTCGGGGAGTCGCGAAATATTTTTTCATACCGAAGGGGTCGCATCATGAAAAAGGTTGAATAAACATTTACAGAGGTGCTACAATAGGTTGTACAAAATCACCGGAAAAAACCTGTAATAACTAGATAGGAAAGTCATGTGTTGGACACATCAGATTTTTATGTTTTGTTTCTGTTCACGCTTGCACATAGGCGTATTCAGTAAACCTTTAAACATATACATGTTTTCAACAACGATCTTTTTAACCACACAAATGATCTAAATTCACAAATTAGTGCCCGTCTCTCATACAAAACACTGGTCGCTTTTTTATATAATGTATATTCATCGGACTGCGTACATTTAAATTAATTATACACTACGTGAAATTAAAAATATATTAAATAAACTTTACATTGTTTAAATGCCGGTATAAAAACCTAACCCTTTTTAATGGGAATGTGATGAAATTATCGCTCTTCTAATATCACAGTCTCTTGAGGACACAGATTCAGTTCTTTCAAAGTGTTATTTTTGTCTAAGGAAGTCAGCTAAAACGAAAAACATAGTTAAGGGTCAACTGAAACCATCTTACACATCTAAAACAATTAATTACTAATCTGTAATAACATATATTATAACTATTTCGACCTATTTGGGGGTTCTTCCACATGAACTGTCTCCTCTGCCTGAAGAGTCCCAAACAGGGCGCAAAGTAAATTGAAATAAAATCTATCATTGTGTAACATTACTTTAAATGTATACCCTTATATTACAGATCAGCGATATAGTATACTTACATCTCTCCTGGGCCAACTAGATATAACTTTATATTCTTCTGTTGGATATCCTTTAACTATTAAAAAGTCCAACAACACCTGAAAAGTAAGACTGAGTTAACTATGATAAATTATAGTTAGGGAACTGGTGGTAGGAATTTTATCTCAATGTTGTGGCTGAGAAGCTTAGCCTAAGAGCCAACCGCAAAAAATCAAAGGACTGATTATTTTAGGCTAAATTGAAGAGAAAAAAAAATTATAATTTTCCGTACCATCCGATAGAAAAGAAAAATCACGTTTCCGAAGGAAAATTTAAAATGTATCAACAACGTTTGACATAACTAACCAATAAAGTTAAAAATCGTCAAAATATTTCTATAAAACATAATGGAAAAATATTAGAAAACCCAGTAGAAATTGTCTCGAATTTAATATTTCTTTCTTGAATGCAACAATTGAAATGAACCAAATTCAAAGAGATAAGAATGATCGTAATGTAACGGAGACTTTCTCAAATAATAATTCTTTATTTTTAAAATGTTATAATCCTACAGAATTATTGCAGTTATTTCAACCCGGAAGTAAAAACATTCGATGTGTTCGTTCGGGCCCGTAGTACGAGACAGACGGACATTAAGTTCTTTTTACTATAGTTCAGTTCCACAATAGTAGGCACTAAATTCTCAGAAATATTGCATTAAAACGACAATATTGTTGTCGGGTTGTGATTCTAGATATTTTAGCATCTTCTATTTTAATCATTCACATGCCGCTAAATAGCCATAGAATAACGGACAACCTTTTTATTCTTTAAAGTATCTTCCTGTTAATGAAATGTATTCAGCAACATCAATGTTTTTAAAAGAATATAAAAGATTTGAATATTTTGCATCTAAAACATATAAATGGCAACGTTGCGTACACAGAGGTGGTTGTGAGGCGAAGAAAAGAACAACAGATTAAAACTGCCATAAGGTAGACAGATACACATATTGGCCCAACCGCTGACCCAGGTCAGGTTAACATTCATGAGCGTAACATTCGTTGAATAATATGTAAAGAAAATATTATATTTCGTCTGGAGTTTGTACTGATCCATCAAAGTAGTAAACCAGTTTAATTTTGTCTTGTAAGCAATATGGAAGGTACGAGCAGTCAAAGTAAACGCCGCTGTCCGAATTTATATGAAGGAAAAAAAAACTATTATATACAACGTGTAGATATTGTGGACTCGGTGAACGGAATAAAAGTATGTTGGTTAATAATGTAGTTAATCTGTGTAGTGATTTAAAAAAGTGTCGACGAGAAGTGTTCGCAGAAGTCTTAAAACTTTTAAAGAAAATTAAGGTAAATCTGATAAAAGACATTGAAACCCGAAGAAGAAAACAAACTCCGCTTGATGATTCGTAGGAAATTCAATTCGTTCTTTCACCCGAAAGAAATCCCAACCTTAAAAAAAGTTGCAGCCGAAATAAGTTCAGATGATTCGATGCCCAAAGTTCTTGTAAAAATCCGAGAAGAATAAGCGGAATACCACTGACCTTGGGCGTCGTTACGAGAATTTGTAGGGGAGGACAACATTTTGGCGTTGTAAAAAAATTGGGCCACGTCCAAAATTATTGAGTAAAAAAATACAATATACAAGAAAAGGGACGTAAAGCAGAAACTTCTAAAACTTTAAAAGAATATATTAAAGTTAAAACAAAACAGAACGCAACTGAACAATAATAGTCTTGTTAAAATAAAAACTTAAAATAAAATAAAAATTTAAATATAAACCAAATAGAACCACTAGAAAATACAATAAGAATATAAACACCAACAAGGAAATTAAAAAATATGCAAGGAGAAACAAACGCAAAACGTTCTTTAAGAAAATAAAAATAACATGGCAGCATGGCACTCAATGTATGGTATCCTGGGTTTCAAACGATTTCCTTAATTTTTTAATAAGTTGATTTTGGAATCAAAAGAAGCAACTTTTAAATGGAAGATTTCTTTGTTGGCTCGAAAAATTAACCGGATAATTTAATGCACTGGATTTAATTTTTGCAAAGATAAGTAATTAAATACTGACATTAATGGTTATTTCATTTTGTTTTAATCAATTAACAAATTCCTTATCTTAATTTATATGCAGATTTGTCTTTGTTAAGTCTCTAGATTAGACCCAAAAACTACCAAAACATAAATAACAATTTCTAGACTTATTTCACTACAGCATACGGATGTTACAAAAAGATATTTAATAAGAATTAAAATTATGGCAACGTTTATGGGGTGCACTTAATAAAACTCTTATAAATTAATTATCTCAGCATAAAGTTTGTTTGGTTATAATACACACAACCAAACTTATATGGAATCACTTTGTATTTCTGAATAAACTTTTTGTAAAGAAAAATTTGGTATAGAACTTTAAGATAAGTCTTTTTGTTCTAAATAAACATGATAATAAAGAAGAAACGACTGCAGCGATTTATTATCTTGTGAATTTTGTGTTCTAAAATCACGATTCTCCGGTACTTTTATTTCGGTCCAAAAAACAAAAAATGTCTGTCTTATTGCTCTCATTGAACAAGGAATGCCCCCAAAGAGACATAGCAGAGGTAGTAGGCGTTACCCAGGGTGATCTATCGAAAACATATGCAAGGTACTTGGAACTAGGAACTTTTAAGAACAGGCCCAGACAAAGTCGTCAAAAAGTCATAACTGAAATAGGACCCGCTTTGTGTGCCTAATTGCTAGAAGAAATCCCACTGTTTCTCATTCAGAGCTGAAACGCCAACTTCTGGAAGCTATAGAAGTAAACATTTCAGTTAAAACCATAAGAAAAACACTTTCCGCTCGAGGGTTGTACAGTAGGAAAGAGTTACGGGTCCCACAGTTATCTAGGTAAAATAAAATTGAGCAGCTAAATTGGTGTCTTCAACACCAAAACTGGACAATTGAGAATTGGCAAAATGTTTTTTTCGGATGAGTCCAGAATTAGATGAGATGACCATCGAATTCGGTTTCTCGCGAGACTCCAGGCTGCCAGATCTTAACCAAAATATCAAGGAGGAACTGTAATGTTCTGGGAAGGTATTGTGCTGGGAACAAAAATTCTATTGTTACCACTTCAACAAACTTTAACCGGTCGGAAGCATGTTGAGTTAGTGCTAGAACCAATCGTTAGGCTTTGGAGCGTTGCAATTGTGGATAATTTTATATTCAAGTACGATAATACACCTCCTCATACCAGCAGAGTGGCTAGAGAATGTCTTGAAACGGAAGGTTTCACAGTTTTAGACTGGCGTGTATGTTCACCATGCCTAAATCCTATCAAACACTTGTAGGACCAGCTCAAAAGAAGGGTTAGAGCTCGTCAAAACAATGCAGGAAATGTCGCATGGCTTATTGATGCAGCATTAACAGAATGAGAAATCATACCTCAAGACAATGTTGACAATTTAATAAGAAGCATGTCAAGGCCAATAGAAGCTTGCATAAGGGCTATAAAAATTACCAATTTTCTTTTGGTTTTTTTTTTGGCCATTAAAAATTTAATTTTCATTTCATTTCAGAAAGAAAAAAAGTACCGTTGTATTTAAATACTCGACAGAGAAAACTTCAATAATTTGAAAGGAGTGAAACTAGTGAGTCATGTCGCATCTTATGCGATTACCAAACTACTGTAACGTTTGTTTAATTTATTTATAGTTTATTTAAAACATTATTTATAACGTACTAATTAATTTATATAATATTTAGGCACTAACTCACAATTCTAATTTATTTATTACAATTTATCTTTTCTGTCCAACGCTTAAATTGAACCTTCCTGTCCGTCGACAAACTCGCGCTATTTATATAAAGCCAGCTCTGTACCATAACTCTCTCGGCTTTCCAGAACGATCGAAAAGTGCCTCTCTATGACTCATACGCCGCAAAGGGATCTATCCGGTAGCTTCTCGAAGTGGTGCGTTTGTCTCTATATGGTCACCGCTAGACTTCATACCGCGGGCAAGGAGTAAAGAAGGAACAAAGAAAATTTTAAATTTTCTTTCATCGTCCGATAAATAAAAATGTATAAAACGCATTTATTTTAAATTACTAATAAATTTCTGAAAAACTGCGAAAATTTGACGTTTTTTTTTATTTTTCTTTACTCCTGGCTTGTGACACATCAATCCACGTGCCTCGTCGAGCCTGATAAATCTTCTTAAGGTCTTTTTTGGTCTATCTTCTCTTTTAAGCAAAACTTTCTCCCTGAAAAGCATTCTACCTAAAATTTCCCCTAATTTTACTAGGAAAAATTTCCATGCCAAATTGTGAATAACGTCGGTAAACAAAAAAATGTATAGATAAATCCGCTATAGAAAAAAAAAAGAGTTGGTTTAGCTGGTAAATTTTTTGGAAAAACACTTTACTGTAGTTAAATTTCAAATTTTCCTACAACATTCGGTAGGGAGATTTTAAAAAGGCATTTATCTTAATTTTTTTATAACATGTGATACATCAATCAACAAGCCTCGTCTAGCTGGATAATTCAAGTCAAAAAGACAGGAGGAAAAAGCTCTATCTCCTCTTTTAAGCAACGTTTTTCCCGGAAAATCGTTCCACCCAAATTTTCCTGGAAAATGCGTTGGATTTATCTGGAAAATTTTGATGAGAAAGTGTGAAGAATGTCTGTGTACTCGATTTTTTGAAAATTCGTAGGAAAATTAGAAAACTAAAAAATTTGTTTTCTTTTTCGAATTTTTTTTATTTTCGCCAATCGAAAGAAAATGTCCAAAAACAGATAAATTCGCTGTCGAACAAATTGGTTCAGTCGGAAAATTGTTGGAAAAGCTCTTTACCGTAGTTAAATTTAAAATTTTAAAATAGCTATTTATGAAACCAGTTGCGAAATGCCTTTCTTTATGCAACGAGTGAATATTTACGGACGAGCAGAGCGAGGTCCCGCAACATGAACGATTTACATAAATCGGCATTTCGTAATGTGTTACATACAATATATTTTCTAATTTTGACTAAAATTGTATGGTTAAACATTACTGACATTAATGGTCAATAGGCACTATACGGAACATCAGCGTCACGTAACGGTAACGTCACGTCAATTTTGCTGTCTATTCACACTATACGGAACGTCAACGTCACCATCGCGATTTGCACAATACAGAAATTTGAAAAAGAACATACGTACTAATTGGAATATTTATGGATGAGGAAGAAATTTGAAAAAAGAACATACGTAGTGATTATAATAATTTTGGATGAGGAAGAAATAAGCTGAAAAACCGCCGCATCGTACAGCAGCAGCAATCTCCTCACCTAAACATCAAAGTCGGTGGCATTTAAAATTTTAAAATAGTTTAAATTTACGATTTTTCTTCTTCTCAGATTTATATCTGATGTGTCCCAACACGTGACTTTCCACTAAAGTAAGATAATGGCTAAAACAAAAAAAAATGGATTTGTACATTTTATCAAATATCTTCAATACGATCCATTTTAAGGACATTAGGTATATAGTATATATAAGTAACAGAAATGTACCAAAAAGTACAAAAACATAAAGTACTCCCCCAGTTGGTCCGACTACGTCCAAAATGTGGCCCATGAAAACCCTATTTTCCAAATTCGATCGAAATCGGTCAAATTATTTATGCCGTATCCTGCAAAAAAAAACGTCACCCACATAATAATATGTGCAATTTTTATGAGTTCTTGAGAAGGTTAAAAAAAATGGGTGCTCAAGATATTTAATAGAAGAAAACGAAAAGAAGAATATTGGACACTGTTCAAATAATAAGAGGATGATGAAGGATGTTTTTATAAATATCTATTAATGTCTTGAAAATCAACTTTTTTAACTTTTTATTAGAATTGAACACAAAATTCTAAAGAATACACAACTTTTCGTGAAGCAATTAGTGCAGAAGATAAACTTGGTTTGTTTGAAGTAAGATATATTGACGCACTTGTTTTGTCAGTTTTTCGTCACTCATATTAAAATTATTAATTTAAAATTCAAATTTTTGTATCAATAATAACTAAAATGAATACTTTTTACTTTGCCGATCTCTTTGACACGTTCACATTGACCGAATGGAGAGGCAACGGCACGCACCGTCACGTCAAATTAATCTTTTTTGATAAATCTTGACGGTCTGTGACGGTGACGATATGTGACGTTGCCTGGTATGTTACCATCAGAAACCTATTCAATAATATTTTAACGTGAAGCTGACGTTCCGTATAGTGCGACTTGACCATTAGGCAACCAATATTACTTTTTTTGTATTGTTAGTTGCATAAGCATAATTTTATTTACAATTAGTGTGTTTATATTATTAATTAAAGTTATTTAGTTTTTTAAAAAGTGGGCTATATTATCGTGTATTGTATTTTTATTATTATACTTGGACTGGAAAATAAGGACCAAAACAACATTGTTACTAGGTTTTTAATAATAATGTATAATATTGATTTAAAAACCAAAAAAGGTTTATTTTATTTTCGCAACTAGTGACGTAATGAATTTTTCGAAAGCCGTTTTATAATGTTAACATTATGCAACTGGTTGCGTCGAGTAGATCATTTTGACACTTGCTGCGATTAGAAAAAATGTCACGTTATATGTCAAAATTGGAAAAAGGAATTTACCTTATTTTTTATAAATGTCCCCTCGTCATAACAGCATGTGAAAAAAAGTGGGTCCCGCTGGAAAATGTATAGAAAACAACTTTTCCGAAGGAAAATTTAAAATTTTTCGGACGTAACTAGACAGAGAAAATGTAAATGTTTTGGATGTAGTGAAATTCGATGGGCGAACCCATCGATTTTCGTGACAGACGGACAACACGTGTTTTAGATTTATTAAACCACTTTCCCGAAGGAAAATTTTAAATTTTCCGACGTGATTCGACATCCTACGCTCCCAAACAAACCCATTAAATTTCATAATCGTACGAAGGTTCTTTTTAATTATAGTATAGTATTTTTCGATACCACCCGATAGACAAATTTTGAAAATGCCTCAATTTTATTTCAAATATTTCTGGAAAAAACAAAAATTTTTGCGTTTTTTTATTTTTCATTCCCTCGTCAGAAAAATTCTGTCATGTGACATTAATCGACGCCTCTCATCGGACCAGATATTTCTTCTTAAGTTTTTTTTTTTACTTTAGTTCCCGTTTTCCCAGAAAAACGTTTGTATCAAAATTTCTCCCAATCTGGAAAATGTGCACGCCAGATTGTGACGAACGTCGAATAGTACACACAAGCGTTTAGCTTTTACAAAAAATTCATCAAAAAAGTCAGAAAACTCGGGAAACAAACATTTTTTCACCAAACGAGAAGAACCGGATAAATCAGTTGCCGAAAAAAGTTTGTCTCGCCGAAAAATTGTAAGAAAACGAAAATTTTCCAACACGATTGAACAGGGAGGGTCAGTTCGGGCCATACAAGCGGACGGACGGATTTTATTTGTTATTATAACCTATCTTTTTTTTTTCAATTCATCCTAAAATAATTTGTCCCTTCGATTTTTTACGGTCCGCTTTTAAACTCATACCTTTAACGGCGTGTTGGTCTGAAACCTCCTCTCAAGGTGCTCTCCTTTAGGCAATCTAAATTTAATTTTAGTAATACTGTCGCCTTGACCTAAAGGCGGTTCAGGAGGTAAACTAGCTTCGACTTCTTTCCTGAACGCCTCTTTTTTCGCCTCTTCTAACGCCCGTTCGTTCTCTATTCTCTTTCTCGTTTCGTCGGCCTCTTCCGCTTGTATCCTTCTAGCTTCTTCTTTGGCTCTACAAAAAAAAATATTTATAATCGGTCATATTATAAAGTGAAGGAAATACAAACCGGTCTGCTTCTAAACTCTCGCGGTACGCCAAATCTTGTTCTAATTTTACCATTTCTCGTTCCGTTCGTTCCTCTTCTTCCTTTATTTCTACACGTTGATGCTCGGAAAATACTTCTGTGCATTCTATAAGACTTGACAAAAGTTCATTTACACCTACATTTCCTGTAAATAAAAAATGGTGCAACTAACGACTAATATTATAAATAACAATTATAAATGATAATTATTATAAGTAACTATTATAAATGACAATTATTATAAGTAACTATTATAAATAACAATTATTACAATTGACAATTACAAATGGCAATGGAAAAATGACAATTACAAATGGCAATGGAAAAATGACAATTATGACATATGTCAAGTTACAGATTGTTCGTTGAACTATTACCAGTAAATAATACAGCAACTTACCATACACTACACTAAAAATCTCAATAGTCGAGCGAATCTTCGTTATAAGTATTATGACGGGCAATCTGTCGACTGGTATATTTCTAAGACTCATGGCCGCCGTCGTACCCAAAGACGTCGTCACCGACAGTTGCAACCTGCGCCTGTTGCTCTCGAACGTAATATCCCATCCCCAAAGTATGAAGTTGTTCTCGAACATTTGCATTACACTTTCAAAACCCAAAAGTTGTGTGCAAAATACGTTCGTTAAAACGCTGGCGTCGTGGTGTAGATATATGGCCAGTATCTTGCGCTGAAATAATATTTTATCATAAAAACTAAGTTATTATAGAAATTAATGTATTGTAGTTATATTGTGTTGTAATTTATGTATAAATTCTCAATTTAAAAAAAATATATTGGGAAGAAAAACAAAAGGTATTCTGCGAAAAATAAACAACGAACTTTTCTAAATTGAAGCGTTAGGACTAATTCAATAAACTTTTTAAGCACAAAATATTTATGTATAAACCACAAAAATCTTAACATTAGAAGATTGAAAAGAGATTAGATGAGATTCAGTACGTTTTGTATTGGAATAACTCATGAAATAAAAATCGACCTGTTTTGCGATCTACTTTAAGATATGTAAACCTATCTGTCGATGCTAAAAATTTAGGCCTAATTATTGATCAAAATCTTAGGTTTAAAAATCATATAAAAGCAATTCTTCAAAAGTGTTATGTAAAGAATGCGGTTATTATATGTAAATAAACATATTTTAAACTTTAAAATGCGCAAAAAGCTTTGTGAATCTCTCGTACTATCTACAATGAACTAACTATGGTATTCCAATTTATTTTCCCTGATTAGATAAAGTCTCTCAAACCAGCTCCAACGTGTTCAAAACATGTTGTAGATACATTTTTAATCTGCGCAAAGTTCATATTTCACCTCGGATAAAAATTTGCAATTTGTTTCAAATTACCTTTCTCTTACTTTTATATAGATTAGTAAAAACACATAAACCTGTCTATTTATTTGAGAAACTTTTATTTAGGAGCTCTATGCATGCTTGTAACATTAGACATAACACCCTTACAATGCCTCACCACACTCATCTGCAATATTCGAAAGGTCTTTTACATATAACGCCCTCAAATTGTATAACTCTTTTAACTTTTTAAACTGGAAGAAATCATGGTATTTCTTAAGGCAAACTGCAAAAGAACATTTTTTTAGCTAGAAAGTAGCCTTCTTAATTGTTGTTAATCATATTTTTCAATAATCCTATTTTCAATATTTCATTTTTTTTTTTTTCGTTAAAAAAAGAGTATTTTTTTGTATTTGCTTTTTTTGTGTCTTCGGCATCAACTACTAAGGTTATTAGCCTCGTGTTCTGTGTAGGCTTTGTTACTGTTTCCCAGCGCCACTTTAGGAACAGCACTGTTAATTAGAACCCAACAGTGAATGGTCGAGTTTGAAATCCTACCAAGGCATCAGAATTAATTTTAAATAATTTAATTAAATGAGTAATCCTAGAATGTTTAGAGTTAAAGAGTAGCTCTAAGCTAATCTTCGCCTTCTAGGTTAAATTGTATTGTACATTTAACAAATAAAGTCATTATATTATTATTATTATTATTATATTCTGAAATAAAATCGATCTCCACCCTTAATGAATCGCCCTATACAATACAAGCGGAAGAAAGCTGTTCACTAGCCACACTACTTAGTGGGGGTGCTAAGTATATTACTGCACATTTATATTTAAAATGTCTTATTTTTGCCCATCAAATCAAAGAATCTCCTTTTTTGATATTTTCTCTAAATTAATGAAAATTTTAAGATCAACTTCAATTTTATTTATCATATTATCAATATTGGTCTTCTTCCTATAGTTCTTCAGTTATTCCAAAACAAACCTTGAGAAATCGACCCTAAACCTCTTGGTTTATCTGACTGGATATCTTAGAAATTTTTGCTAAAGGCGCATATAATCAGTCAATTTTTATAGTGAAATATTCTTAATAAAACTGTATGGCCGATATATCGGTATCGGCCATGCTTATATCGGTATCGGCCACAAAAAATCATATCGGTCGATCGCTACATATATTTCCAAATGCAGCAGTGGAACGGTAATCATTGAAACACTCTCGACTGGAGATGGAAAAAATAAAAAATTTGATCGGTTGCGATTTGCGCAAATTAATCACCTGTGTCAGAGATTGTGCTCAAGAAGATACTATACCTGAATTTTACTTCTTTTTCGAGATATAATTAAAAAACTGTAAGTGCTGCATCTTCATATCTATCTCCAATTTCCACCCACTCCTTTAAATAGAATTCCGCGTTTTTTTCATTTATAATGAGCATTTGAAGGATTCATGGGATAAAAACCCATGACGATAATTTTTCCTTTCTATATGACATAATCGCCTATTATTAAGAATATTCATTAGAGCATACTTTGCACACTACTTTTTTGTTTGTTGGATATTATTTATTGCACTGCTCAAAATGTTTCCAAATAGCATCACTTTTCTGTCGACCGATTTTTCCCACATTAATAAAATCACTTTTAAAATATTCTTTAAATAATAAAACAAGTAAAACAAGTTTCAAGCATATCGGATCCGAAAAAAGGTAAATTTACGATAATACGCTGATTAGTCTACTACAAATACTTTTATTGTACAATTCTGATCGCCCAATAAAAAAAATATATTTTTTTAAATAATAAAAATAGTATTGATCAATAAGAAACTTACATCTTTGGCTGGTCTTGAGCAGGCCTCTTTTATAGCGTCGTCTAAAGTTCCTTGATAGAAGGCGGGATGAACAGGACCGTATCTAGCGGTAAATTGTTCTGAGAATGTAATACTGCCTACAATTTCATCTTCTACGTTTTCTGGAACTGCAAACGGAATAAATAGCAATCGATTTTGAAAAAAGCAGAAAATTAAAAATGTATATATTAAAACAAGCCACTTTTTGAGTCTTTGATCATACATGGATAATCTTTTTTTACATTTATAATGGTAAGTTTCTAATTCGTTAACACTCAAAATTAAACCACAGTCGAAACCGATACACCTAGAAGTGTGAAACCAATGAATTTTGAAAAAACGACTTCTACTAGGGTTGTTTTTTTATGACTACATATCAAAAACAGAAAATGTTAAAGAAGCGAAAATAAGGTATTTAGATTCTCTATTGAAAATAAAGACATGACACCTGGTTTGCCATTTTCAGAAAATCATGGATGAAAATAATATGAAAATTGAGAAGAAAATGGATAAAACAGAAAAAAATGATTGGTATAATTGGAAATAAAATTCAAGAAAGCAATAAGAAGATGGAATTGGAAAACAAGATAAGGAAAAAATAATGAAGTTTGAAAAAATGAAAGTACATACAGATAAGAAAATGGAAGAAACAAAAAATATATAAAAATAGAAATGGTAGGCAAAATATATGAATGTGAGAAAAGGGAGAAGACAAAGAAGAAATTATAGAAATAAATAGTGAAGAAACAAAGAAAACGAAAGACGATGTAAAAGAGAGAAAAATGTAAAGTAAATGAAAAAATAAAGTTTAAATTGAAAATATGTTGAAATAAACATGAAAATTGAAATTGAAGAAAAAGAAAGCAATAAAAGACACACCGTTGGCCGAAATTTTTTCATTTATTTTAATTATTTAAAATTAATTCTGATGCCTTGGTAGGATTCCCCACTCGACCATTCATTGTTGGGTTCTAATTAACAGTGCTGTTCCTTAAAGTGGCGCTGGGAAACAGTAACAAAGCCTACACAGAACACAAGGCGAAATGACCTTAGCAGTTGAAGCCGATGACACAAAAAAAAAATTAAAAAAAAAGACATTCAAAATGTAGAAATTGAAGTAAATATGAAGGCTGGTAAAATGGGGAAGGGTATTTTTTGAACTATCAAATTTAATAACTAAAAACCAAAATGGTATACTTAATTGATCGTAAAGAAAAATCTGTCGTGCCGTTACGAGATGGGGCCAAATTTTATTTGAGTATTTTTGTAACTCAAAAACTGAAAATGGCGCAGACGTGAAAATTGGTATTTAAAAAAAATGTTACATTTTTCGATAACCAACAAGTATTAAATGTGATATTTAAGCATATTTTATATATTATGTTTTGTAACAAATGTGGATCTAGAACAATTTTATATCGAAATGGGTCTTTATTAAACTATAATTTTTATTGTATTAAGATTATTTTATCTAATTGTAGAAATCTGTGGCAATTTGGTTTTCTTACTCAATGGATCAAATTGAAATGCAACTAGTGCAGCTGCCTGATCTGCTTCATCGTCTTGTTGTTGTTCTTCAGCCATATTTGTAGAATAAAATACACAAAGATGGACGTTTAGTATAAGAACGAAAGTTTTGTGGTTTACGACTTAAAATTTACCAGTTTTAAAGAGCGAGATCTATATTAATGAAACAGGGTACAAGTTATGACAATTGACAGGTCGAATATTGTTAGTCTACATAAATCTTTATTCCTGTTTAAAATTAGCTAATTATTCATTTAACCATTTTTTGATGTAAAAATATTTTTTTTATTATGAAGTGACATCATTTTTTAATGTCGTGTCAAATCGTCAAAATGACAAAATAGTGACATGTTTCCAGTAATAATAAAGCTACTTTCGCATGTTAATCAAGTTTTAAAACATTATTTTAAAAAATTTGTAAAACACTTTTGATGCGTAAAATAGATAAAATTCAGTACAATTTTTGTTCCTGTTCGTATTTCCTATCGCATATTCGCTTAGTGCGAAATCATGATAGGGGAAGCATAAGCGATACTAGCGCCTAGCGGCGAATAATTAGTGCATTTTGTAATTTTGGCATATCAACTACACGTATATATTTTACTTTTTTTCAAAAAAATAGGTAAAAACAATTCAATAAGCAACCGGAGTTGCTGTGTTGTAAATTGTAAAAATACTAGCAAAAAAATGGTGTAAAATATAAATAAACAATAAATAATTATTTTACGATGTTCTTCAACGTCCCTTTAATCTTAAATGTTCAGCAAGAACTAGATTTCTTTGATTATTGTATGTAGTTGAAATGCAATTTTGTGACACATGGGAAACCAGTTTGAATCATTCATTCCATGTTTTCTTTCGAACAAAAATGAAAATATAAATAACAATTCTTCTGATTATACATTTTAACTTCACGCTAATATTTAATGGTATATTTTTAATTTTGATGGGATAGGTTAATTCTTTAAAGACAACTTATTAGACTTAGGCAATTTCGTATACATTTTCCCGTAAATATTGTTGCCTGTCTATATTTTATTATTGATTTTTATTGATTATATTTAGTTTTTTTTTTTAATTTAAGCAATAAAAATATAAATAAATTAATGTTTTACTTGTTTTACAAATCCATATACTTTTATTAAAACTAACATACCTATATACTTTTTAATTACGAATTCTATTAAAAATTGTATTATCAGTATACGCAAAAATAGTCCATTAGCACATAAATGAATTGGCACGGAGCGAATAGGATGTCGGCGAAAATGCGATAGAACTGAGTCTAGTGATGTTGCAATACTACCAGACAGAGCCGGCCCAGAAACATTCTAGGGGGTTGGTTTATTTTAGGTTGAATTGAAAATTAACCAATTACGGTTTACTCTGGTTTTCCCAGACGTCAAAACAACAAACTTCGGTGATACCTTTGGAATGAATGCAAACAGAGGTAAACCTAGTTATTTTTAAAGATGAAGCTGTCAGCTTTCATCTCGAAAAGGGTTAATGCTACAACTAAAACTCTAAGGACCTTTTTTATCCTTTATTATCCTCATTTTAAATTTATATTTTAAAATTTATTGCGTTACAAAGTTTTTATTTTACAGTTTTTGCTAAATATCTCGTTAACAGTCAACCAAACGTTGGTAACCATGATTATCGATTTTGTAGAGCATAAAATTGTCTAGATTTTTTTTTTGTACGATTCATGGTTTATGATCTATAAGACAATAACGCGATAAAATTTGGGACGATACCATATTGCAACATTCCTAACGATGTCGCGATTTTGAAAAATGATTTCTCGCAAATATCTCGAAAACGGTTTACCCTACAACTAAAACACTAAGGACCTATTTTATAGACCGTAACATTTTCTATTATTTTCTTTTTAAACAGATTTCTGTAAAATTTTTATCTCTAAAGTTATTACGCTACAAAGTTTTTACTTTGCAGTTTTTACTAAATATCTCTTTAACGGCCAATCAAACGTTGATAACAATGAATATCGATTTTGTAGAGCATAAAAGTATCTACAAAATTCATATGAAACATTTTTTTTTGTACTGTTTATAGTTTATGATCTTTAAGTTGATTCTTACTTAGAGGTTCTGTCCGTTTTCCGGCAGCTCCTCCTTCATTTTCGACAAAATATTCATCATCTACATTGAAACTTTCCGAGGCATCTTCAAATTCATCATCATCGCTGTCTATCTGTACCACCGGCATGCTTTTCTTTTCTCTAGCATTATTCGATTGTGTGTTTCGACGTACCGTCAAATCGTGTTCCGGATAACTGCAAAAAAATGGTATAGATGACATTTGAAATTTATAAAAATGAATTGAACCAGCACTTACTTGATTCCGGATAGCGCCAGCATAGTATTGTCGTCGATGTTCGGAGGCCAGCCGCTCCATATTTGATTACGAACGTGGACATTAGTCAATGTATATACATCTCCTTTTACTTCTAGAATCGATTTTGTGCCCTGATATTTGAGATTGTATGTTCTAGCTTCATATTTTACGTTTAATGTATACATTCCATTTAGTTTTTCGGTTACGGAGTTCCTGAAATCAAAAAGGATTGGTACACATCATTAAAAAGCGCGAAAATAAAACCTAATACCAGTACCGCCAAAAAAGACCGCGCCGACGCGCATATAAATACCACACTAGGAGCAAAGGAGGATTAATTTTCAGTTGATACGTCGAGAAGAGTACTTCGTCCACGCTACTGAAAATGGCTGCTGCAGTTGCAGCTGAAACGTTTGGTAGTAATATCTAAGAAAGACCACGGCATAACAGCCCGAAAACAATTACATTGACGCCGGCCGTGAAAGCCTACATTCTTACTTTACTACAGTTGTTTGGGACCAATAAAAAATCGACTTCTATGACATTTATTCACTCTTAACCCCTCATTAGTCTTTCTTCGATTAGGGACGACAATGACAACTATTTCATAGATTTTGAACACGACTATAGTTCGAAACACGGTTTTAGTAACGAATTTTGTTACTTTTCCCTATGTAAATGCGTCGTTTCAATTCGTTCTTCCTAGTTTTAAAACAGTATAATTGCTTTTTGAAAATGCGAAAAAAATGGGTTACATTCTAAAAAAAAAATTGTATTTTCAGCACAAAAATCATTTTTGACACAGAATAAATAAAACAAATATTAAAAAGGGCTATTTTGGAAAAGATTCAGAGCACTAATTGACTGTGCTGCACACGTCAGGCAAAAAACTGGTAACTGCTAAAATAATCATTTTTGGCTCAAATAGTACATTGAAAAATTATTTGTGGTACACTAATTGCTTTTGATATCCTAAAAATCTACCATAACTTCTCAAAAAAACGGTAAATTTTGAGAAAAAATTCATCGCTGCACTGCCGTTCTAACAAGAAAGGTCCTACCTGCAAAATTAACAGTTTTTTCAATCTCTTTGCATTTGTCTTTCTTGATACCAAAACGGAATGTTTTATTTGAGTCGTAAAGGTACTAAAACGTAAAAAAGTTCCACAAAAGAGGTTTAGAAGATAACAAATATATGTCTGCAAAAAATAGTTAAAAACACGATTGTTTCCAAACAACAAATTTTCAGATAGGACCTTTCTTGCTAGGAGGACAGTGCACACATCAAACAAAATTCAGCAAACGATTTTTTTTTTAATAATTGAAAAACCTGGTGAATTTCTAAAAATTTGTTTTGGCTCATAAATTAGTTAATTAAAAAAAATATTTTGAGCACAATTCGACACATATTGAGCACATTAATTCATTTAAGGAACAATAAAAAAGTTTGTTTCAGCCCACAAAATGATTAATCAAAAAAGGAATCCAAAATTTGTACACAATGAGCACAATATTTATTTTTGTTATAAAAAAAATAGCGTGGCAAACTTCACACACATAACTGCTCATCTACTTACTCTTCTTCGGCTGTAATTCCCCCATCGCCAGCCTTAAGAGTGAGATGTAGAGTATTATCATCAGGTAACATTAGCTTCGAGAATGGGGTGTTTTCATACTGAACTAATCGAGCCCAACTAGATAGAAGTTGTCTGCAAGGTGTCACTTTCACTTCTCTTTGTAACCTTAATTTCAGATCATCTAAAACACCAAACATTTTTCAAATACCTGATTTGGCAATAATAATAGAAAATTAAAAAATGTTTATATGTTGATCTAAAGTGAAAATAATAATGTTTTTACACCTTTGGTAAGTATACATTTTATTTTATTACGATACAAAGTTAGAAAAACCTATTTGTATTAGAAAACATTGAAAATTATAGAGGTTAGTCACAACTACAAAACTAATCACTTTATGAAGTCTAAAAGGATGTTTGTAGACTTACTAAAAATATTTATTTTGTAGAAATAAGCAGGGGAGATAAGTAAAATCTTTCAGTATATATAGGGGTAGCAAAAAGTTTTATACAAATGGAAAAATGTATCTTACATTTCAAATAAAAATATTTTTAATAAACATTTCTGCATATACTTGTCTAAGTTATCTAAAGATATAATTTTTTTTAAAAAATATGATGTTTATGGGTTGGCAGTCTTTTACAGGTTAAACTCAAATCAATTACTTTGTCAAATTTCAATTCCATGTTATTTTGTTAATATTATACAGTTTTTCACCCATATTTCTTTGATATACTTGCTCTTTTAAGGTCAATTCTCACTGTAGTTCACGTCACGCTCCACTCAAGGCGCGATGCTTTATTGTGACACGCTATTTAAATGGAAATATTCATATATGGCGGTTCGCTCACGGTCATCACCATCTTTGACCGCGGTCTTTCTCCATGCGAATATTTTGATCGAACTGTGAGTGAACCTTTGCGTCAATATGTACAAGCACCAATTAAACAATGTTTTTTTTCTATTCTAATTGAATTAGTTCGAAATACCAAAAAATTGTACAACCTGTGTGATAATTATACTCTGACACGGCATTAAAAAATATAAGATTGAGGGAAATGAGCGCCAGTTGAGTGTAACATGTGAATACTATCTCATATCCTTCACTGTGAGCAGATCGTGAGCATAGTGTGACCTGAGCGCCTAGTGAGAATCAGCCTTTATAGACTTGAATGATCTAAATTTTTTAAAATTCGATTGAATTAATCTTAGAAATATCACATTAGATAACACCCAAATTTCTAGGGGGTGGTTTGAATCAACCCTTGTCAAACCACCTCCTTTTAAATTTAATAAAAATGTATGAAAAGTTTATGTATAGTTGCAAAAAATACAAATGATTCATTTATGAAAATTATTAGAAAGTGCCTGGATGTGTTATGACATGGTTATTAGGGTGGGCCGAAAATTGCAAAAAAAATCTATATATTATATTTACTTGAGGGTACCAATAAAAAGTTGCCCTATGTCAAAAGGAAATTGTAGAAAAAAAAAAAGTAGCGTACTTGCCCAATATTTAAGGGGGCCCCGGGGGGCCCCAATTTTTTTAATATATATCTTGTGTGGGGTAGTAATAAAAAGATACCTTATGGTAAAATTAATTGCAGAAAAAAAAATTACTCAAGTAGCCCAATATTTAAGGGTGCCCCAGGGATCCCAATTTTTTTATAAATATATTTTGAGTGAGGTAACAACAAAAAATTACCTTATAGTAAAAGTTTTTCTAGGAAAAAATATAACCGTAGTAGCCTAATATTTAAGGAAGCCCCAAGGGCCCCACATTTTTTTTTAGAGATTTTTAATGGGGTAGCTACAAAAGTTTTCTTATAAATACTAGGAAAACAAAATGTAAGTATTGATTAAATATTTTATTTTATTTTTTAAGACACTCATAGAAAAGTAAAAATTAAAAAAATAAGAATTTTACTTTATTTCATACCCAAATATTATAATTATTATATTATTCGTAATACATTTTTATTCATAATATTGACCCTTGTTGTCATATGCTGGTAAAGATTTCCTCGCATCTAATTTTGCTACTATATAACCATTTCTTGCTTCCTCACTACAAACTTTGATTGCAGCTTCCGTTACAAGCTTTACGCAGCTTTCTACTGCTTGTGTGTGACATGGAAATTTGCCAAACCTTGTGGAGAATTCGTCTGCTTTGCTTATGAATCTTTCTAGTTCTCCATGTGTTAGTCCAGTCGTTAAAGGAGGTTCTGTAATTGTACATTCTGCCCATTTAATTAAATCAATATAGTCTTGAGCCTAAAAGTTTAAGTTCGGAATTCTAAAAACTCGAACACCTTCTGGTTTGTTATTTCTAGCTTTTAAAATCCGTCTTACTGCTAGTTCTCTTATATGTTTTCTTTCATCGGCTAACATGACAATTAAAATATTTTCAGGATGTGCATAAAATGCATTATTTAAAATGGCTTTATCAACAACGGCTGTTATTGTTTCAGGAAATTGCCTTGAAAGATAAATCGTTTGCCACAAATGCCGAGCACCAAATTGTAAATATGGTTTTGCCTTTGTTACAAACCACATTGTTGAATAAACTTTCACAATAAATTTTGCAAGTAGTTTAAGGTTATTGGATGGTTCACTTACTGAAACATATAATCTCAGGACACGATTGGTGGTAGTCAACCTCCGAGAATGAGACATTTTTCCTGGGTTTGTTTGTGCAAGATCTGCAGGGCAGATACCATCTGAAACAGCCTGACAGATTCTATATAAATACTGCTGATCCGTGCTTAAGTATTTGTAGTTTGTATCAGGTAAATCAGTTTCAATTTTCGAAAATGAAACAATTGGGACGTTTTTCGCAATTTCCAAGTAAGTAACCAATTTCTCCTGAGTATTGATACGGGCCTTTGGTATGCCCGTCTAGTTTTTGTAAAAAATGCCTTAAGGGAAGCTTGTTTGCGTGTAAGTAGCATACAGCCCTCTGCAAAGGTTTACCTAAATAAAAAAGTAAATATATTATTTTGTTTATATTAAGTAACCCAACTAATTTATACCTGAGT